TGAGCTGGGACTCGCCCAGGCGGCCCTCGTGGGAGGAGCTGGACACCTTCTGCTGCACACAGCGGGGAAACAGCCTCGGGTCAGCACAGCTCAGCCACACACACACGTACAAACACACACCCCTGCCCTCCACCGCCAGCCCCTCTGCCAGGACACAGCACTCGTGTGCCTGCACAGGGCACAAGGGCATTCCCTGTGTCTGCACAGCGCTCTCCTGCTGCAAGGTAAATGCCAACAACTGGCCTCGTTCTGCCCAGCCGCTCTGGCTTCCCACAGACCCAAACCTGGGGCAGAAACTCTCCATTTTCCTTAAGGAGAAGACAGTCCCAGGCAGGTCAGAGGTGCTCAGGGCAGGCTGGATTTCAGTCCATACACACAGCTCCATGCTCAGAGACCCCTGACAGGGTTAAAGTGCTCCTGGGGACCTGCATCCCGCAGCCATCACCAGGTCAGACCCAGCCATCAATTCCCTCCCCCAGCTCGGAGCCAGATCTGCACCTACCGCAGCTCTTTCCGCTTCTCTCTCACGCTCCCGCTCCCGCTCTCTTTCCTTCTCTTTCTCTTTTTCTCTTTCCCTCTCTTCCCTGGCTTTCTGCTCCGCTTCCCTTTTGGCCTTTTCGATGGCCTCTTCTCTCTTCTTGGCCAGTTTGGAGCCTGCCAGAGGCATGAAGTACAGGTCTGCCCTGGAGCATGAATTGTAGCCACGGTCCAGGTGTTTATAGAACCTGAAAGGAACACAAGAGAGAAGAGCTCAGCCCTGGGAAACGTGCAAAGCGTCCAAAGTAAAAAATATCATTCTACACTTAGACCAAACAGTACCAGCTTCCCAGGAGAAAATTCACTGTCCTGTACTGGTTTTACACACACAGACAGTGGAGTACAAAGCAGGGAAAGCAGAGCACTGATGAAAGCTCCTCACCTGGCTGACTGGCTGGCGTGGCTGGGGATGTCCACCACCGTGGGCTCTGGGGATGGGCTCCGGGGTGGGGGCGGAGGGCTCTCGGGCTCCTCAGCCTCATCGGGCACCTCCTCCTTGATCTGGATGGGTGGCAGC